GTATTTATATTATTGGTTTGTTTTGGTTTGTTTTCTTTTAAGGAGTACCAAACTCAATGTGTTATTTAATGCCGACAACATTTTTTATTGTTGGTAATATTTTTCAAAAGATATATGGCTAGTAATAATTTTCCTTTCAAAAATGTATTGCATGTATTAAAATTTATTTTTATACTTTCATAGTGTTTTGACCCCAGTTTGAGGATTAACTATTTGCCGATATCTGGGATCTTAACAGGTGCACCGGGTAAAAGACTACCTGGGAACACTATCAATTAAGAGGAGGTTCTACGCTCCTCAAAACCTCCTGATCAGAGGCCTTGCTATTGGATCTAGTTTATCGTCATATCAAGGACGCGGATATAGTTTATCGCAATACCCAGAATGGGGATTATCGTCATACCCAGGACGGAGTATTTGTATGAAACGTCAAATTAAGAATAACATAACATTACAATAGCTATAGTGCAATATTTTTTCATAATTTCCATAAAAATCACAAATAATCCTGGATTATTTTTTTAAAATTTGTAACTATGAATATAATAGATAGAATCTTCTAAAAATTAATGAATTATTCAAAACTAATTCAGTAAACAACTCTTTATTGTAAATTCGGTAAGGAACTGCAAATACTCGCATTTCATTGGAAAATATGCAAATATTCAGTAGGGGCGAAAAATTCCATCCACAAATACGTGATATATATATATATATATATATATATATATATATATATGTGTGTGTGTGTGTGTGGTGTGATTGGTAAATTGTCGCCATTTCATATTTTAATTAGCGGTATGCTTTATTGCTTGGCATTCGCGCTGGAAGCTCCAATATGAACCTTTCAGAGTGTTTGGATGTCAATCTGTGACTAGTGCAGAGGATTCAGAAAGATTTGGATGAGTCTAATGCTGATTACGAAAGTAGAGCATCTCCGAAAATTTACTATGATCATTCTGATAAGAAAAGAACACCCGAATTCGAGATCCAGCACAAAGATCCCTACAAGTCAATCAGGTCCATAGACAGGGTGGTAGTGCTGTCCTAGTTCAAAAGGGTGGGTGCTAGAAGACCTTATATTTGGCAACAGGCTCAGCACCATGCCACACAAGCAGAAGAATCCATGTCCGACAAATGCTTCGACTACATTACCGCTTACATTTGGCCACCTAAATCCTCAAATGGCAATTATTATATGTGAGCAGCAGTTTGAGTTGTAACAACAAAGATTACCTGAAGACATGGATTATGTCAGCATTCACCAACTTAAACAAGCAGACTCAGAAGTCGAATAGATGTTGTTGAATTTTTTATTGAACAAATTTAGACTTTAGTATTTCAAGGTGTTCTGTGTAATTTTGGTAAAAACATCTGTTGATGTCTATATCTTTGAGATGGTGTATTATGATTATTTGGATTATTTACATTATTCGGGCTGTTATCCTCATCTTCATTGCCATATTCACAACGTTTCGGCCTCTATATCCCTGAGATTAGATATTATGATTATTTGCATTATTTACATTATTCGGTTTGTTATCCCCATCTTCATTGCCATATTCACAACGTTTCGGCCTCTGAATCTCTGAGATGAGGTATTATGATTATTTGCATTATTTACATTATTCGGGCTGTTATCCTCATCTTCATTGCCATATTCACAACGTTTCGGCCTCTATATCAATGAGATTAGGTATCATGATTACTTGAATTATTTACATTATTCAGACTGTTATCCTCATCTTTATTTCCAGGTGATTGGAATTTCGAACCAACGGGTGTAGATTGTTCTATTTCCACGTGCCAGATGTCTCAGTTATTTCCCTTTAAATGAACTCTCCAAGTTTCTGGTTCGCCATTGGTGTGGCTTCGTATTAAACTCACAACACTGTGGGTGTAATCAATGGATCTAACAAAAGCCTTTATCCATTGGGCCATGTGCCCTTCAGGACATCTGTGTATAATTTATTGGGATCTAGTGTCTCGGCAAACATTTTTACTAGTGCTCATATTGCATTTTTTTACTGTTATTATTTTATGTGCTTTACCAGAGCTTATATTACAATTTTTGTTGTTAATCATTGCATTTTATCTCGTACTCTTTATTATATTAATTTCTATGTTTGGTCGATATGCGATATTTGCGGCCTAGTATGTGCTGATTTCTTAAGTTTTCGTGCTTTCCAGTGATGTTCTCTGTCTGTTATTTCAACTTCATCCCACAGGGGTTGATGATCTCCATTTTCCATCCATATGTAGTCAGCTATGCCTAATTTTCTATTCCCCTAGTGTTACCGCTTTACGATGTTCTTGCAGTCTTAACTTAGGGAGGCGGCCTGATTCCCCTTTGTATTTCTTACCACAGCTACACGGGATGGTGTACACACAGTTTTTAGTCATGTTCTCGTCTATGAAGAGAGGGGGTCTTCGGAAGAGGAGTCTGCGAAGTGTCGAACTATTTTGAATTTTGTCCTGAATTTATATGCACCACAGATCCTTTGCGAATATGGCAATGAAGACGAGGATAACAGTCCGAATAATGTAAATAATGCAAATATATCTGTTGGAATGAGATGCATTATTTTCATTGTTGCGTAATTTAAACGACACTTTATTCATTGCGCACACACACACACACACACACACACACACACACACACACACACACACACATATATATATATATATATATATATATATTCTAAGCTAAAAGAAACTAAGAAGAAAGCAGTCGCCAAATGAATAGAAATAAAAAGAATATAAAAAAAAACTACCCCTGCAACCTAGCCTAAAGTGCTCAATGTCTCCAGTAAAAAGACCAGGGCAGAGCATTAACATTAACCAAAAGAACAGAACCGACAATTTTGAAATCGTTACACTGACTTTCCGGGAGAGCAATCGCGGGCCAAAATAACCGTTACACACACCATCACACACACACACACACACATACACACACACACACACACACACATATATATATATATATATATATATATATATATATATATATATATATATATATATATGTATGTATAAAACTTGTTATCCTTCACCCCTCGTTTGGGGCCGGTGCATCGTCTCGATAGGGTTGATTCGGATTTCCCACAGTCTTACGATATTGGGTTTACCAGCGAAGACAGATGATGGTTGAATATGTGCATTTTGTATCACCGTTAATAAATGAATAATTACCGACTTGTGACAGTGATAATTTCTTTTTCTTTTTTTTTTTTTTTGTGGCCAGGACAACTTTGGGAATCATTGTTGAAATAAAACTCCTTCAGTAAAAGGAAGAACACTGTTGACAAGTGTAACAACAGGTGAAAAATATCTCTATTATCTACAGGAGAGTTAATTTGTACGCCACTGGACGGTGATTTGAGAAACCGAATAGTAATTATTGAATCAAGACTAACCATTCGCTTCTTACATAATTCTTCTACTATACGTCTGACAATGTCTTCGTTGCAGCCACGGGAAATGCTTGTCGGCTGTTGAGTATTGACGGTTTTCCACAATACAAGAAGATCTCTGACGGCTCTATGGTTGAGCAAATACTATCTGTTGTATTTGGGCTCCGTGGGCATCCCCCTCTCTCTCTCTCTCTCTCTCTCTCTCTCTCTATATATATATATATATATATATATATATATATATATATATATATATAAAAACTCTCTAGTTATTTGAAATTGATATATCTAATTTCTGCATCCCAGATCGGCATAATCTTTGGGAATGTTTACATAAAACTCATGGCTAACTTTAAAACTTTTCAGTCACTGTTTTTTTTTTCTGTGGGGATAATAGATTTTGCGGGAATCGTATTAAGATAAATAATCTCTGAGTTTAGGATTTCGACATAATCCACATTCTTTCTTTGTTTAAGAGAGATTTGGTCACTCTTTTCTCTAGGGATATACACATTTTGGACTGACAGTATTAATGCAAACTAACTACAAATTTAATTTCTCCGGTAATTCAGACAAAACTTTAATCATGTTACTTCTTACTAGATGGATGTGTATATGTTAGAGGAACGTATTTATTTTGCTGCACGTGTTTATATATAAGAGCAAAGATGTCATTGGTTTATGAACATTTTTGAATTTGAGAACGTTCATAAATATATGATAAACTAATTGACTTACTTACCCTTATATATAAATACATGGACCAAATAAAAGACCCACATTCAACTTGACAAAACGCGTCGGCTAAGTTTAGTTTTCCCCCTATTGTCTTTTTTTTTTCTTATATATATATATATATATATATATATATATATATATATATATATATATAAAGAGAGAGAGAGAGAGAGAGAGATAGAGAGAAATAGAGAGATAGAGAGGGTGTTCAAATAACTTGGACCGATTTTAAATTTGAATCAAGTTTAAGCGTCTAATGATTTTTTTCTTTTTCTTTCAGATTTAACGACTTAAGTCTTTGGAAATTTCAACCACGCAAAGATTAACAATCAAACAACGTGTTAAAGTTATCGAAGCGTATCATGAAAATGGACGTTCAAACAGAATTTGAATGAGAAGTTCCTAGGTCGCATCATCTCTCGAAACAGCGATCGTGCTAAAAAGCCAACAACAATTTAACACGTCAAGGATGAGTTAATAAGGCATATTGGTGAGATCGAAGAGGATCTATGCAGAAATATCATCAAAAATTTCGACCATCGAGTGGGGGGGGGTGCCGCCGAAGCCTCGGCGGACATTTGAGCGATATCATTTTTCACACATTTTTTAGTTTATAAAAAACCAAAACATACTTTTTAGATCATAAGATCTTTTGGGGAGATTATAATGATTTAGTTGTAGAAGTTTTGTTAATTAGCACATAGATGAAGCGAGAAATGGTTTCGTCATATTTTCCGCGTGGGTATTTGCGCGTAATTGGATACAACGGACCCGACTGGAATTAGATCTCGGTTCAGCGATTAGCATTTCCGAGCCATTATTCTTGACATCGCCCGCACAAATCACAGTACGTGGCATTCCTAAGCGGTCACCCATCTTTGTACAGGCCTGACCTGACGTTACTTAACTTCGGCGATCGTACGGGAACCGGTTAATCAACGCGTTATGGCTGTAATACATCATACTCTAAAGTTTTATTACTTTTCTCTTCCATCTTTTGTTTGCTTTTTTTTAATTTTATTTTCAGTTTTTCTCATCTATCCATTTCCCTCAGCATTCGATCAGTTGTCTTTTATTGCTTTTCATATTGAATTTTCTTTTCTTTTCTTTTCCTGGTTTTTCTGTGTTCTGAACTTTCTGTATTTGGTTTTCTTTTCTTTTTTTTTCTACTGTACATTCCGCCCTCTGACAACCATTCGTTTCTTTCCGCCTTTAAGAGAATAGTTTATAATCCACTGTCGTGATGAAGTGAGATGCGTTGAGAAAATTCTGATAAAATGTTTATCTTAACTTTTGAGTAGCGATGTAGCTTCGCCTATAAATAATCTGGCAAACGGAAGTAGTCTACATTATGGCCAATTATTGAGTAGATGACTGATTCTGCGCATGCACTTCTAGAGATTAATATCAAGTATTCTTTCTGAAAACGATTGACTTTTGATGCTTCTTGTATTCTCCGAATATTTTCGAGGACAAACAGAGAAAAGACGGCTGAGATGGCCATTAAGATTTATTCTTTATGTATAGTTTATTTTTTATGCATCAACATTAGCTCGGTTTTATCTAATCCCATGTTTTACAATATATTTGTTGTATAAACTTTATAAGATAAATAAAGATCTATAAGATCGAGATATATATATATATATATATATATATATATATATATATATATATATATATATATATATATATATATATATATATATATATATATATATATATATATATATATCATGGGTCCTTACCTATAACTACAGAATGAACTCTTCCTCACACTATGTATACTATGCCTCTCAAGAGAGAGGGTCGAATCGAGTCGAGCCGATAGTAGTTCACTCCAAACCAGACTGAGTCATACTAACACCTTCCACATCTTGTATTATTATTTCGTGTAATATACCTTCGTTATTTCTACTCTTGTGTTCGTGCTGTTCTTCCTTAGTCCTAACCTGGACCATATCATATATATATATATATATATATATATATATATATATATATATATATATATATATATATATATATATATATATATATATATATATATATATATATATATATTGATTCTACTTATTAGTCGTTCGCATATTGTAAGGATTGCCAGAGAATAACCATAATAACAACAAAAATTGCTATATTGGCTCTGGTATAAATATGCAATGATAACAGCAAAAATTGCCATATGAGCACAGGTAAAAATGGTTTGTGAAGACTTTAGTTTTATAATACCCAGAAATTCATACACAGATATCCTCAAGGACACATGCCGCAGTGGATAAAGGCATTAGATCCAGTGACAGGAAAGAGTGTGAGTTCAATACCTGGTTAAGGCGGTGGAGAACTTGGAGAGGGGAATCAACAGGAGATAACTGATAACTGACATCCATTTGACATGGCACGTGGAACTAGAAGAGTCTACCACATTGAGCGAAAGAAAGGGTTCAGTTCGACATTCCAACCAACTGAAGAAGGCAGGAGCGTACAACGGCCGAAACAATAGTCCAAATAATGTAAATAGTTTACATAATACCTCATCTCAGATATATATATATATATAAAAAATTATGCAGAGAGTGAGAGCATGAATGATAGATATTAGGAAGAAATTTGGAAATGTTGCAGCAAGATTCTGCAATTACTTCGAGTGGAAATAGAAAGAGATATTTTGGATGAGATTAGCGAAAATTTAATGTCCCAGGGAAATTAAATTCTTCTTGATCCTATTTTGAAGGTCTTTCATCCTAAATCTCAAATTATTAAAATATATTATTAATTCTGAGCTGAGCTACGATAAAAAGAACGTCAGATCTGTCACCTCGTATATTGCTGTCAATGAAAGATATTTAAAATTAAAAAAAATAATGATTATAATCCACGAAACGGATATTGAAATGAAACCAGAAATAAACTTAAAATTCTTCACTCAGATGAATGCAAGTTCGGCGCGCACTGCATTCACTTTTAGAGATCCAAGTTTGGCCAAAAGCTTTTTTTTTATTATTATTTATTTTCCTAAGCCGCTGAATATTTGCTAAATAAATTTTCGTATCACTGAGAAGTAACGAATTTAATTAGCTTCCATCGTATAGCATTTTTGCACGAGGTCATTTTCTTCATTTTCAAATCTCGCTTCTTTGAGACTTGACGTGTGAGTTCGTGATATCGTCATTATTTTATTGAAATATAGTTGTTCTAGTATTGAACTTATGTTTTCAGTTCTACCTACCCATCTTTTTCACCTAATCTATCTATCTATCTATCTATCTATCTATCTATCTATCTATCTGTCTTTAGTCTTTCTCTCTTTCGTTTTTTTTCTTTGTTTCTTTCTTTCTATGTGCGTTTCAACACTATGTTATACTTCATTAATGCACTTAACATTTTGACAGTTAAATTTTCTTAGTGCAGATTCATTTTGAATGTATACTTTTATTTATTTGAACTACAGACTGTATGTGCCCAAAAAGTCATAATTCGTAAAATCATGAAATATATTGTTAATAACTTTAAATCAGTCATGGTGCATCGCTGATTCTGTGCGCTAATATTGTCTTTCTTATTTCGTTCTTTTGTCTGTGCTGCAGATTTCTCCTGGTGAATATTTTAAAAATAGATTCCCAATGATATTGAGATTGGACGTCCATTCAATATGTTCTTTATTTTGATCCTGTGACCATTTTAGTTTTATCCGTGTTGCAGTCCGGCACAGGATAATCTGTTGCATAAGAATGGGGCTGGGAGTTATCTATAGGAATTACTCATCTGGTTAAGCAATTATTTTCACGACATCTAACCGTAAGGTCTATGCTAAAAGTATCTTTTCTCGCACCTCTTGCTTAATGAACTCTTTTCCGTCTTCCATGTTTTCTTGCGAAATTTTAACTTCAAAACAACAAATGCAATGTCAGTAGTATTCTATTGGCTTCTTGATTGTTCTTGGTTTGATTGTTCCCCCTTTTTAATAATAATGTTTCTCTTTTTCTTATTTTTTCAAACTCAGGAAGAACCTGTGTCTTAGTATTTGGTTCTCTTTGTCGTACCAGAAGGTTTTTTCTTGCTGGAGTGATTTGCTTAAAAAAAAACAAAAAAACACCAACAACGATGAGCAGGATGGGATGGACAGCATCTCCTATATTTATAACGTCCTTATTTGAATCTTTTCAACAAAAAATTAATAAATGGTGAAAAAAATTAAATATTATTCGGAGTTTGGATTTCCAAGATACTCAACAGTATTATATCGAATTAAAAATATATTATCAGGTTTATAAAACTCTGTGTCATATATCGCACAGTTTTATTAGTGTGTGTTTGTGTGTGCGTGTGTGTGTGTGTGAGAGATATATATATAGAAAAAAAGCTGTAGAATTGAAGTGGGCATTCTGCATCACATACTTACAACCTGCCACTGAAAACAGAAGAATTGGACATCGTGTGCCATGGATAACAATCCCTATATATATATATATATATATATATATATATATATATATATATATATATATATATATATATATTTCCAAGAGGATAAAATCCGGTTAGAACTCTATGTCAAAGCCAGATCAAGAATATAATATAAAACGTTCAAATACTAATATTTCATGCTTATAATGTATTACATTGGAATCGTAATCACGGCCTAATTCTTCAGACTAAATTTTGTTTTTCTAGGTCTAATAAATTGAGTCGTGATTACGATTCAATTATAATAAATTATAACCATGAAATATTATAGCATTTGAGCCTATATATATATATATATATATATATATATATATATATATATATGATCAAAATATATATATATATATATGATCAAAATAATTTTTTCATATCAGGTATAGAGCGTATGTAAAAGTGCATATTGAGGTCAGCTTACAGCGATGACGTTCTGTTTCATACATAGACGCAATATGTATACATACACACACACACTATATATATATATATATATATATATATATATATATATATATATATATATATATATAGTGTGTGTGTGTGTGTGTGTGTGTGCGTTTAAACAATACTTTTGTAGGAAATAATAAATTAAATAATTAAAAAGCGAAATATCCTTCCATGCCGTTGTTTAAATTATAAGATGGGAGCCAATGTTTGTATCGTTTTTATCTATTATTTACTGTTAATTTCGTGATTATGCTCAAAAAACTTTGTAGCCGGAAACTTTTGAATCCTAAAACCATGCCTATATTACTTGATCCACACAAAATGGAGCCGCATTTTCAACATGAGCATGCGTGTATTCGTGTCGACCTTTTTCCCGCGCTTGCCCGTGGGCTTTAACAAAAATGGGTGCCGTGTCATTTTCTGCATTGATGGCGAGCTACAACGAGGTCGTTATTTAGAAGAATGTGTGGAGAAGAAGGAAGAAAGTGGATTTGTTAAAGGATCGCCGGCCATAGTGCTTTTCCGCCATGAACCGGTCAGTACCTTTTAACTGAAGCTCTTCGTGTGGAAGTCGGTAAAGTATCGGACTAACGCCATTAAGCATTGTTAGGCACGCACGTCATTTGGAAGGGAAAAGTGAGCAACAGTGACATCAGCCTTGGAAACTTGAATTAGGCGAGTACTGATTGTCAGATTTTGGGTGAAAGTGAAATTGAGATTGATTCCTGAAAGTCTATTGACTAAAGGACAATATTCTTGGAGCAAACAGATTTTCCATGTCAATACAGCTGACATTCAATATTTTACACGCCTTATAAAAAAGAGGATAAAAAAAAGATTGAACAATTAGTAAAAAATGTTATAATCAAGAGAGTGAGTAAATTAGACTATACTTATATAAATGTGTTATTGCTGAACAATTCAAGATCTTGTTTTTTTTTTTTACAGAACCAAACAGATTTATTACAAGAGGTTATTATTGAGAACTGATACATTGTCTGAATTCACAGATTACATTCACTTCAGCTGTAACAATCAAAGC